ATATTAGCAGTATTCTTGTTTTGTGATCTGGGGAACAGTCCCTGTTCCAGGATTGTTCACAAGTTGCACTGACTGCCCGGCGCTGATAAACAGTTTGTGTCGGAGTAAAGGAGAGTATTGGGAATAGAAATCACCTGAGTGTGGCTGTCAGTTGTCTGACTGATACCAGACAGTGTCATTCCAGGCGGTTATTGCAAGATGGAAATAGCTTTACATCCCAGAAGACTATTGATATGTGTTAATTGAGTAATAAAGGAGATCATATAAAGTTATTGGGCAGAGAGAAGTATTTGTGAGAAGTTACTTGCCAATTTGTGGTCCCTTTATCCTGTAGGAGTACTTGCGGTGAATCAGGTTATTTTTCGGCCGCAGGATCACAAAGCAGTAGATGATGTGATATCCCTTTTCTGTTACTAAGACAGTCAATAAGCATCCTAATCTCAGTTGCTGCGCAGAAGACAAGATTTATGGCTGTGTGGTGAGCATAAAACAAATGATTGGAGGATTCAAAGGCAGGCTCCTTCAGCAGACAAACGCGTACAGTAGCAAACCTTGATTCTTTTTTTTGGTTCTGAAATTTGCTGACTTGATTAATATAGCCTGCTGTATGCCAAGCTGTTCAGCGTAAATGCAGCCGTATTTCCCCTTCCCTCACCTTCCCTTCTCATCTTCGATTTGTTCCTGAATGGTTTCTTATGTAAAGCAGTAACTGCAAGGAAGTAGCTGTAGAAAATGTTCCCCCTGTAAATTGATTTTATTTCATGCGCTTCCTGGTGCGTTCTCCTGACTGCAAGCTCGGCCTTCTCTAACCTCACAAGATTCCTGAGAGTTTGGCTCTTCGTCAGCTGTGATTTAGTGGGACATAAAAGTGTCTCTTGCTCTGATGTCCCCATTGATCTAAATGAGAGACAAAACTCTAAGGGATATGAAAGGCTATGTTTCTTTTTGCTATTGATTCACAGCATTTAGATATAAATCCTGCAAGCAGGTGCCATCCTCCATTTCACCGAGAAGAGGGGGATTTGGCGGGGAAAATGTCATTGTGCGACCTGTACTAATTAGTTTACAAGTGTTGGCCAGTAGGCAGTGTCACGTACTTTCCAATTAAAAAAAAAATATATATTTTTTTAAACTAGCAAAGAGAGGGACGTGAAGGCCAACTCAAATGTGTTTGAATCTTCCCCAGTTCTAAGGACTTTGGGAGGCAAACAGCCAGGCACTAGCGTAGTGCCTGTCTTGGGTCCACAGCCAGATGTAAATGGTGCTAAATAGCACCTCGTGCGAGGTGGGGAAGAAATTTCTGAAACAACCTTTTAGTAACGGTGGAAAACTGAAAGTAGGCAAATTTGCGTTCCAGAGAGGTGCTGCTCTTTAACTCCATGGGGAACTAATTGGTGACACAAGCAGGAGTCCATTGTGTTGGTTTCTCCATTGCTTAACATTTGAATTAAGTTTAAAAGTTTGTAAAATGCATGTAGCGTTCCCTTGGAAATTGTCCAATTCCACTGGACTGAGACGGGCTCGTGGGCAGATCATGAATGGGTAGAGCTGAGCATTAGAAATAAAACCCAAGATTCTCCTACTAGAAAACATGAGGAGCTGCAAAAGATTTCTAGCTCACGTAAGAAGTGGAATTTTTTTCCATGACAATTCAGGTTTTAAAAGGCTTGGCAAAGGTCTCAGAATGGGTTTATTCCTAGAGCTTTTTGTACTCCTTTAGCTGGTTAGACTCAATTTCCCCCGAGAACGTTCTTGAATATCCCATTTATCTCATTAACTGCTAATCTCCAACGAGGCAAACCCACAGTCTTGGCTGAGGACTACAGCTGTGCCAAAACCAAAGTTCTCGTTTTGCACATGTGATACTTCAGACCTTAATATATGCTCTGTGGTTAGGTGCTATTTGCATAATTAATCTAGATGTGAATCCAAAATTTGGAAGAATTTTGGACCAGGATCTGAATTGTAAAGGTACTACCTGGAAATCGGCCAATGCAGTTTTTGCCTGAGGGACACTACTACGGATGGAGGGGGAAGATGTGGTCTTGGAGATCGTTGCTAGCCTGAGCATTGCTGAAGGTCCTTGGGGCTCACCTCCAAATCCCATGCAGTCGTCCCTGCTGCAATTCACAGTTGTCGCTGGCCCTTGGAGTCAAGAGATGTTTCACACCGTGCGTCTTCCCAACTTTTGCTGTTATGAGAAAATGCAGCCCCTTAGAGTTTAAAAAAAAAAAAAAAAAAAAGAAGAGGGTTTCGTGTTGTGCTTTGGGGTGCAGGCAGATGGAAATTCCCTCCTGTAAACTAAACCCTTTGACCACCCAGGTTGTCATGCAGACTCTCCGTCCTGCTTGCTGGCTGCCAGGAGGAGCCAGAAGCTGTGACAGCATGTGGGTCCTCACTGGCTGACCTCGCAGGAGAAGGCAGATCCTTTATCTCTTGACTGCTCTCTCAAATTCCTCAAATGCATTTAGGAGGAAAACGGCCAGCTTCTGTGCCTCAGACTGAGCTGCCTGGCTAAAGCACCAAGTCTGGATAAGTCCCTTTTGTATTTGAAATGCTCAGAGGAGAAGAAAGCCACTTCCTATCTCATGTAGTCGTTATTGCTGCTGTTTTTAACACATCCTCCGTTGGCCCTTCTAATTACGTGAGCTCAAGCTTCGTTTGTTTATTGATGCGTTGGCCTGGCTGGAACGAGTGGCCGCGGCAGAGCCCGCGGGGCAGAACCGTGGGAATACGTGGTGGCGGGCAGCAAGCTTTGCCTAACCCAGCTGCTCTTTGCACCAGCAGCTCTGGAGAGCCTGTTTGAGGGAAGCCAGCAAACTTGAGGTTAATTTGGTTTCTAAGTGCTGCCTTCCCTGCTGTAGCGCTTGCAGCCGAAGTCACCCGAGAGCACGGTGTTTATGCCAAGCCTTTGCCTCCCACCCGCTTGCCCTTGGAGAGTTGCGGCGTTGTGCGCATCAACAATGCAGGGCTCTGCCGTGCCCGCTCTTTCCCTGGACTTATCTGTTTTTCCCCTGTATCTTGGTTCGGCTGTCCTCGGTGCTCGGGCGAAGGAGAAGCGTAAGAGTGGTGCAGAGTGAATGCGAATAATAGGTGAACCTCAAAGGACTCGATTTGGGTTTTCCTCCAAACTGCTTTGATAAGAAACTGAGCTCTTTATACCTCCAGAAGTGTGCCTAGAGGAAAGGCTGTGCAGAGGTGTGCAGTGTTCAAAGCAAAATATATGTATGTTTTTCATCCTGTGACCACCTTTTCTTCAGTTTAGCAGATATTGACATATATGAAAAGCAGGTTTTCAGTCTCCAAGTCGGTTAAATTTCGGAGTCGGTTGTTATTTTACCCCATTGCTACTGTTTGCTCATTTTAAAGAGAGAGAGCTTCTGAAATGAGGTTCAGGATTTGGGACAGTACGTTCTCTTTGGAGAGGGCTTGAATTGGTTCAGGGAAAGCAATAGTTAAAGATTGAGAAATGCAATCTTTTTTTTTTTTTTTTCCCACCCAGCATACTACTTTAACTAAAGAAGATTCGCATAGAACTGTGTTTCCGTGAAAATCTTTGTTTCCCTAGTCTCATTGCAGAGTCTCAAGAATGCTTGCTGTTGCCTAAGAAACACCTGGTACAATTGAATATAGAGTCATTGTTGGTTAGTCAATGGGCTTGAAGTTACGTCTGGAGATCGTTCTTGCATTCCTTCTTTCTTTGCTTATCCGGGCGGGATTTACTTGGTAAACGCTCATTGTAATTCTGCGAACGCTGCTAATGTTGCATGTCTAATCTGTCATGAACGGGGAGAGTGAGCGGGGAAGGCTCGTCCGCTTTTGCTTCTTCTTCCCTCAACATATCTATTCAAAGGAAAGCCGGAGGGTTGGATTAAATTGTTTAAAGTAGTCGAACTTGTGTGTATGTGCGTATGATCGTGTGTATGAATGTGGAGTTTCCATCCTTATTTTTCTGAACGAAGAAAAGAGGAACCAGCTTTGCAGTCCCCCAAAACACAAGAGGGGCCATAATATGTTTTGCTGTGGAGCTTAGTGATCCTCTATATGCTCGCCTCTGTGAGTGCTATATGAAGATCAGGCTTTTGGTTAGGATAGTGTGGCATTGAAACAGCATCTGTGTCTCATTGGGAGCTATGTTTGCTCCTTGAAGAGCTGTGGATTACCTGAAAGAGCACTTCCACTTAGCGCTACCTTAATTCTGCTCTGTGTGCGTCCTTAGTCTTGATGTCTGGTGTATTTATGCTACGTGAACCTTTTACTTGTCGGAATGAAGCTGGCTGGCAGTAAACTAGGAACTTCTTCCACCTCTGTCCTGCTCCGATATGCAGAAACGTGCTTAAGCAAATGCCCAGCCGCAAAGACGAAGCCTGCTTTGAACAATTAGACCTGAAACCCAGAGAGATAATTGCTTTTTTTTTTCTTTTTTTAACTATATTGGCTGTAAAGTGCAAAGACATCAGTTCATGGCAATGCTCCATTGGGATATTTCAGAGACAGAAATATATTGAGAGGAATATGCAGAGAGCTAAAACATTTATTAAAACTATTTAACCAAGGGTCATTTTTGTATTTGTTTCATTCCGAAGCAAATAGGAAGAAAATTCACAAGGGCAATTTAAGACTCAAGTTCATTTCTGAACACCTGTTAATCTTAAAACAGCATAGGGAATGTGGAATTTCACTTTAAATGGTGAAGTCGGAGGATTTTGTTTTTGTTGTTGTTCTGGAGGCCTGCTATTTGTTATATACCTGCAGATGCATGTATGTAGTGGCAACCTAGACAACCTCAGCTAACTGAGCTCTGGGTTAGCTCCCTCCCCTTCACGCTCTTGCAGCTGCCTGAAGGATGTTCTGGGGCGCCGCTAGCTCTTCCTAGGCAATACTGCCGAAATCATGCACGGTTAGCTAAAATAGGTGGTTGTGCAAAGCCGCGGGGCATCAGCCATTGTCCTGTGCGTGCTTTGCCAACCCCGTCTCCCCCTCTCCCCGTTGTGCTACAGGTGCAAAGAGCTGAAATACGCCAAGGACCTACCCCAGATCTCCATTATCTTCATCTTTGTGAATGAGGCGCTGTCAGTTATTCTGCGATCAGTGCACAGCGCTGTGAATCACACGCCGGCGCACCTCCTGAAGGAGATTATCCTTGTGGACGACAACAGCGATGAAGGTAAGCAGCGCGGGGCGATCGTGGATCTCCCAAACGTCAGGAGCGTGCTTGTTTTCCTAGGAGTGTAAAACCTCTCTGGGAAGCTGTGCTTCCTTTGGTGACGCTGCTGTGGGGCGTGCGGTCTGACGTGGAGGATGTACTGGCCTGCACACCAGTCCTCGCCCTGCCTTGTTTCTCCAGCTTCTGTAGCAGAAAAACAACAGGACCGTACCTAAGTTAAAACCCGAAATAACTATTGATCGAAGGTATAGTTAAGAACTAGAAGGCTAAAGGAAACCGGAGAGCTTTCTTACATTTCTCTTTTCTGTAGCATCTAGAAGTTCTGGCTTTAGTGGTAGCCCTGGTTTTAATAATAACACTTTGGTGGTTGTAGAGATGCATGGCCTATCTAAATGTTTACGACAGAGCTCACGAACAAGACCCTGCAGTCTGGTGATCTATTCCTTTTTTGGCCCCTTGCAGTGGCTTTAAGCAAGATGTTTTCTCTGGGTATGCCTCAGCTTCCCTCTCTGTAAAATAAAGTCCTAAACTTTATAAATGGCTCGGACCCTCTAGTAATAAAGAACAACCCTCCTTACTCTCATGTTATGTTTTTGATGTAAGAAAGAAAAGCAGAGAGGAAGAGGAGGACGCAAACATACCTGGCCTGCACGAGTCAAGCCATGACAAAATTTGGTGCAGGATGTAGGTTTTCTGTGTTCCCCAGTCATGCCTTTGAATTCAGCCTGTTCTTGCCTGCTCTTGAAACATCTTCCTTTCTAGCTTTTGATAACACAAATCTGCAAGGGACTTAAGTTCCATGTGGAAGTGTTTTCAGACTCGAGTTCTTCATAGATTTGTTTTTCCAACATACAATTGGGTAGTGTCGTATAATATACAGGGTAGTTAAAATCTTCACGAAGACTAACAAAAGGTTAAATTACTTTGATGAATGCCTTCTTCATTTTGTATTGCATACTGTAATATTATTAAAAAGAATAATAGACCTGGGCTGGGAATCTTGTGATCGGAAGGGCTAAGAACAGGGAAGGCGCAGGAAGAGGAGAGCTCGTTTCTTTTTCAGGCTTTTCCAAAGCAAGTCTGAGAGGTTGCTCTTCTGGTGGCGACGAGATGAAAAACAGTAAGCAACTCAAGCCTGTAAAAATAGGCACCTGAGTACCACAATAATGAGCACCACAGAGAGCTGATGAATTATAAATACTGATAAAAGGAACAGGAGGCCAGCTCCTCAGCTGATGGAAGTCAATGCAACTCTAGTGAAGCTAGCAAAAGCTGGGATGATGTGCACCAGCGAAGCCCTGGGATTTCAGAGCTGGAACTCTTTGGCTGGTGAAGGAAAAGTGCAGGTGATCTGTGTTTGCGGTTGTTGATATTGCCCATTACTTAGGTGGTTAGAAATGCCAACATGAAATGCTGCTTCTCCAAGTTCAATATCAACGGGGTGAAGAGGAGAACACGCTTTTAAGGAAAAGCCACTGGTGGTAATTACTTCTCCGCTCAGTACCATGTACAAAGAAGTACGTTTCTAAGCGGCCTCCACCAGCCGTTCAGTATGCAGCACTGAGGCTAACATTGTATCAAGTGCTCTGGAGACCCTTATGAAAGGCATAGGACAATGGAACAAATCCTTTCAGAAAGCATCTCCCCGCCCCTCCTTGAATAAGCTGAGACTGCAGCTGGCAGTAAGAATGCAAAATGAAACCTCTTTATCTGCTGCCAGATGGCAAGGCGCTGTCTTCCCTGGCGTTGGCTGTGAGGAGGACCGTGCTGGTGGGCTTTGGTGGGCAGGCTGGGGTCTGGATGGCAGCAGGGCAGTGGGGGGAGGTGGTCAAAGCTTGGTAGCATGCTCAAGCGTTTCCAGCTGTGGGAGTTCATTTTTTTGGTGCCTGTTTTGCCTGGGCTGGCCAAGCTCTCTGGTTTCTGCCCGAGTGCCTTGTAGCACCCACCTACTAATGGTCCAGGGTTGTGCGAAGGGTCATACAAAACCTGAACACCGAGGTGGGCAGAAACCTTGTGATGCAGAAGTAAAAGGAGAACTGATGTAGGGAACACTGCAAGGGAACAAGGAGATGCTATTAGCCAGTAGGGTTAGTTAATAATGTCAGCACTACTGCTTTTGAGCCTTCGTAGGCGTCATGACAAATGAGATTTTTAAGAAGGGATTTGAAGGAAGATAAGGAGGTAACTTGGCAGATGTTTATGGAGAGCTCCTCCCAAGCATGCAACTGTCTGGTTTTCTCCTGTAAAAGAAACGATACAAACCAGTACACATCCCTGAGACCTGTGTGTTCATCCTCTGCATAGTCAAGGAGCCTCAATGACATGAAAGAATTATTAATGGCAATAATGTTGTCTTATAGTTCACATTAACGGTAGGAAGTAATTGTCAGCAGCAATAGCAACGTCTTAGAGTTGATGCTCTGGATATTGCAAACAAAGTAGTTGTAATAAATGGATTTGATTCCTACAGGAAAATAATTACAGGAAAATAGATTCTTCTGAGCTCTGAGATTTAAAGATGAATTCTGGAGATGTGCTGATGCCAAGCAGAGGACGGAGCTGCGTGGGTGTGCCGTCAGTAGCTGTGACTGAACAAGATGAGGAATTAGCATAGCCTGTTTGTGAAGGGCTGTGTGTATCTGAAAGATTATTTATTTGGGTGTATGGCTTGTAGCTGTATCCTGGTTCTTCAGAGTCTCCAGATGCTCAGTTATATACACCAGAAAGAAGGTTGACCTTCAGAGAGCAAGGACTCAAAACTTCCTCAAAATCAGTAGCTGCGTTAAAGAAACCCGAGGTGGGTCCGCAGAAGCAGCGCTAGGTAAAAACACTAACAGCCCATGAAAAAGTATGGTCCTGGGCTTCACGCTATGGAGGGTGGCGTTTCTATGTATTTTTTTTACCTGGGAGCGTTTGCATGCACAAACATGAAGAAGAAATACTGGCTGAGAATGCGTATTAATAATTTAAGAATAAAACATGTTCCCAACCAAGTATTCGAAAAACCCTGGAATTTCCAAGTCAACTTCATGTTTTAAAATGAGTTCCAGCAGTGAAGGCAGGAAATGCGTGCTCAGCACCGCTGATTTGTCTGACAGGATCGAAGCCTCTTGGTGTTTTGTATTTCCAGACTAGCACAAACTGCTTCTAAAGACTCAGTAGAATTTTCTCTGCACCACAGTGCTCACAGTTTTGTCATAATGTTTTCTCTGTGTGTGTGTGTGTGTGTGTGTGTGTGTATAAAAACCAAACCCGCAAAACATAGAAATATGCGATGAGATATTAACAGCTAATAAGCATGATCATTCTAATTCTTCATAGCTGATACAGATAAGAATGTATTGTAAAATCCTTCCTTGAAGGAAAAAGCTTGGGGAGTTGTGGTTTGAGCCCCTCTTCCCCCTTGAGCTATGCATTATACTTTGTGAAGACTTTTTTGTAGTCTGCTTTTGTTTGTGTTTGTTGTTGCAAGAGTATAATTACAAAGACAGTGCGCAGGTTGTGTTTCTGAGTGATAACATGTTGCCTAGGTTGTTGGAGGAATACAGCAGTATGCCCCTGAGATGTTACGTTATCTTGCAGTCGCACGCTTTGTCTGAGTCTGTTGCTTAATCATCACCTGCTTTTTTGCTGTCTGTCTTCTAGTGTTTTTAATCTGAGATAATATCTCTTTGAAAAGAAAACCTCTCAGTATAAAAGAAAGCCTTCAGATAAAAGACTACTTAAATTAGCTGGCTACATTCAGTGATACATGCTACTGGTTGTAGTTTACCTCGGTGTATCATATTAGCTGTGACTGGATATATCACTTTCTTGTTCTGCAACTCATTTCAACAGCGACAGCCGTGGTTCTTGTACCTTCTCTTGGGAGCTGACTCTTGCATTTTATGTGTGCGTGTTGGGAGCGAGGTTTTAACAGACTTGCGAGAAGTTGAGTCATATCTCAGCTCTTCTTAGGCATCAGTCCAACCCAAGTGCCTCGTTATTCCAGTTCCTCAAAATAAAGATGAATTGTTTAATTGCAACTGACTTGGTGCTGCCCCGCTTGTGTTCGGGTCAGAGTTCTTCAGGCCCTTCTGAGGTGCAGAGAACAGCAAACCTTGCTTGGTTGCCTCTATTACTTTGGGTTTTGCTGAACCAGGTGAACTTAAGACTTGAAGCAGAACACACCTAAGGGGACCAGCTTTGCCTGTAAGCTTATATTAGATTCAATTTATGCACCTGTTCCCCTTTTCACAGGTTCCTCCTAAATATTTGCAAGTAAACATCAAAAGCTTTGAAGACCCACCTGGCTCTGAGTTTCACTGCAAAAATTCTCTCATTCATTTATTGTCTGTTGAAGTAGATTCTTGGGGCTAACTGCTGCAGAAAACCCAACCACAATCAATTTGGTGTTTCAGCCGGGCAAAAGTGAAGGAAGAGATGCCAGGCAGATGGGTGTACTGGTGTCCCCCATGGCACTGGAGTGTTTACAGCCTCCTGCCTGGTGCTTTCCCCCCTAATGTTCAGTGGTCCTGATAACAGCCTTGAAGTCTGAAGGCTTTTCCCACCCAGCTCTGACTGGCAAACACTTCTGTGTTTTCTTTAGGGGTGTAGATGAGGGGTGGTCTGCTCCTAGGACCACCTTGATATTGTTGTATGATAATATTTCAGCTGCTGGTGGTTCCTTGAGCTCCTCCAGCGCCATTGTTCTTTGCTCCTTTCTTTGAGTGATGCTGGGTAGTTCTCCCCTTTAGTTCCGGGGACTTAAACTGCTGAAAGGATTTGAGGAGGTTTGGGCAAGATTTGCAGTGTAGAAGCCTGGGCAATGGGTGTTCCTCTGGTTGCTTCGGGGCTAACATCCATTACATGGTTACCTCTATTGGCATCAGGTAGTTCAATGTCTCTGGCAGACCTGTTTCCCAAACGTGTTCATGTAGGTGACAAAATGTAGTTTGCAATAGGTAACATAAGTTAATGCAACTGGCAGTTGGTTTTTTTTTTTTTTCAATAGAGCGACAGGTCTATTGGATTCTAGTTCTTTGGGCTCACCTTTCACTAAAGATCCATGCAGGCAGATGGAGTCCAAAAGAAACCATTGAAGCTGAACCTGCTGGCATCTTCAGCAGAGTTTCTTTCTGTACGTCTTCCCTGGAAGTGGCTTGTGGACTGGCACATGTCACATATTCACAAATACCTCCATATGCAAATACTGGTTACCTCTGTAGTAAAGGTGACTTGGGAATGATATGGATGTGCTCTAAAGGATGGTCCAGCTAGGCCTGTTCAAAAGGGCGTAGGAGAAGAATGCCATAGGATACAGAGGAAAAAAAGAGTATCTAAAGTCCATTGCAGTTTTTAGTTTGGATCAAATTACTGGTCATGTAGCCCATGTAGATCCTCAGATACCTCATGAGTGAATAAGCCAGATATATGGTCCTTTGATTACGAAAAATGAAGGTAAGCTGGGGAGCCTTGGCTCTACTCCCGTCCTGGCTCCTGACTTTTTGTTGTTGCTTTGCTTCAGGAGTTTCAGGTTATGGACTCTGGGATGGATATCATGCTAAAATTGTCATCTGCTCAGCATCCAGTGGACCTCGTTGAATTCTTCTGACTTATGGCTATAGGGGCAAAATCATTGCTATTACACTGTGCAAGGCAGCAGCGAGGAGAACAGCAGCAAGTTATGCGAGTCGCATGATGCTTTCTCCTCTGCTGTAGTATGCATGAAGTCCTGAAAATAGCAGATCCAAAGGCAAGGTTGCCAGTTTGTGAAAGCGAGGGTATTTTCTTTTTGTCCCTTTGTGGAAGTCATTTAATTTCTGGCATACTATTTCAGACCTCCCAGCTTTCCTAAACAATAGTGCTCTGGGACACGTAGCAAAGATAGAACGGTTGTGGATGAAACATTTCTTAAGTTTATATGACAGGTGAAAAGGTTTGCTGCTACTGACCTCAATGCAAAAGCTCGCACTGATCTGCAGCCTGAAGCTACGTGTTCTGACAATGTCACGTTAGAGCAGCGTCAAGTTGTTTTTCTTTTATGCTAATGGCACTCGCTGAAGTGACTGCTGAGTAAAGGAAAATGCAGGGTAAAATTAGGAATCACTTCACATGACTTGGATTAAGATTAGACTTGAGAGCGCCTTCTGATTCACCGTGCGCTGGAGTTCACGTGGAGGCAGGAGTGCGCTTGGGGTCCTGCAGCGGCTGCGGGAACGGGGGACACAGCCACGCCAGTCCGGCTGCTCCTGTGAGATTGTGGGGTGCAGACTGCTAACTGTGATCCCCCCTTCCACAGTGTTGCGAAGGGGAGGAGGACGGACGGGGTCAAGGCTCACTTGATATTCAGGTGGGATTTTTGCAGAGCATTCCCAGCGACTAGGATTTCACTTTCGATACCGCATATTGGGTTTTCCAAACGGACTAGATCCCAACTTCTGGATGTGCTGAGAAATGAAATCCAAAGCGCACCCCGTCCCCGTGTCCGCTGACTGAACTGCGGGTTGAATGCTGAGCACGTATCTCGTGACACTGCTCGCCTCGTGCTCCGCAGTCACTGTGCGCTGTGCCTTCCTCCCGTAGAGCTGCAAACCGGATCGAAACCTTGGCTTTCCGGCAAAGATGCATACACATGTGCAGGCATCCCCTCTGTTAGGGACTGCCCAGGCACATCATAAAAGGTAATTCCCACCCTAGCTGCCTGCGCTCTGGCCTGACCCAGAGAAGGAGGGCAAATGAGGGGGAGCAGAGCACAGCAATTTGTTCAAGGGTGCACAGGAAATCATTAGAAGAGAGAGGATTTGGGACCATGTTTCCCATGTCTGTTCAGTGCTTTCATCTCTCGGACCGTTTCTCTGCGCGTGCAGTGTCCTGCTAAGTATGCTCGTAGCGTGCGTTGCAGGCTGGGAAGGGAGAGCTTTTGCCTGTGCTGGCGAGTGGCGAGGGGAAGCCAGGGTAAAATGATGCTGTCCTTAAGGTAACACAGCCCTAATTTGCCATTGGGCTGGACTAAAAGCAAATGTGTGAGTGTTGCCACAGTTCAGCTGAAGAACTGTCGTGTCACAAGCCCTGGAACTTGGTTGTTTTCAATCCCACAAGAACCACAAGCAAAGCCAGGTCCTCTCCTCCACCTGGTCCCGAGGGACGTAGCCTCGGGTCGCTTCCCAAATGCATAGGGGTGCTGTAACGGGCTTTGCACTCCTGGCAGATTGATTCTTTATCTGCTGATTTATTGGCATCCAGCATGGGAAAAAGAAGGATGTGGCTGTGGTTCCCCTTGGATTTTGTGCCTAACTATTGCACAATCTGATTAGGATAGGAATTTGTCTCTCTCGGGCTTTACCCTTCGCTAAACTTGCAGAATTAAGTTGTGCTTCTTCCCTGTCTCACTAGAGCTCTGCTCTCCTTTGAGCTGCTCAAGCAATTCCCATGATCGTTTTTCCTGTTCTCCTGTTTTTCCTTCGACTGCGAAGCTTAAAACTCCAATCTGAAAGTTGTTTTGATTGTTCAGTCTAGCCGGTAATTCCACGGTCTGCCGCATTAATGACTTGCCTCCTGACAAAAGCACATGAAACGCGGATACTGTACTTGTGGGGTTTTGTCTGTCAAAAAATCTGTGTCTCTGTCTCCTTGGAAGCACTCGAGAGACATTGTCTTCGTAAAATACTGGTTCTCTATGAGTGGCTCCGTATGAAATGGAAGTTGCTGAGTTATGTATGTATGTGATGCAGATGCTTTGAATTGAGGAAGGGGCTCATTTGCTTTATTCTTTTTATTCCTACTTCAACATAAAAGAGAGATGAGACTTCGGGGAAATTGATATGAGAAAGGAACAATCCCAGAAAGACAGTCTGAAGAAAGCATGCTTTTTGTATTTGGAAGAAGGCGTGGAAGGAGAAGGAATGGATAATCCTGTTTCCTTTGATGATTTATCTGGCTAAGCCCAGCAGATGGGACTTACTGTTTACTCTTTTGTTTTCCGTTGCTATGTTTTGTCCAGCTAGGAACCAACTTTGTTGCTCATAAGCCTTAAGTATTCTACCCTGTGAATTATATTAATGGTGTTTTATTTTTATTTTTTTCCTGGAGGGGGAGTATGTAGGAAGGGTAGGAATCTTTCATCTGGGGCACTGACCTTACTTGAGTTTCCAGGAGTCCTTGAGCCTCATCGGAATGAAATAAGTTCTCCAGGAACTACTTCCCTGATATTAGCGGGCCATGTTATGCTAAATGTTAGCAGTAGATCTCAGTGCATTTAACTGAAACACCAGGAATTCAAAGGACTGAGATTTCTGGCTGGAATAGCTAGGCACAAAATGCCAGGTTGCTAATGGCAAACCGATGGCTCTTTCCACAAGGCTGCATAGCCTTTGTGGCATGGCACGTTTGGTTGAAAGCTGAATTTTTCATTGGCTTTCTGTGCAGTGTCTGGCATAGCATTTCCAGCTGTTCAACAGAAATTAAGTAGGGTGCACGTGGCAGAGGAATGTGTTGTAATGCCCCTACTTCGTGTGATTTTCAGCATTATTAACTCAGACTGAACCCTAGTCTGAGAATCTCAAAGTTTCAATACAATCTGTATGTGTGCAAGTTTCTTTTCTCTGCGTTCAGGTTACAGCTGGACCTTAAAGTATAGTTGCTCAGATGCTGCAGGAGAGGCTGCTCCTTGTCGCATGTCCAACTTGGAGGGTCCCTAGGAGATGTTCTTCTCATGGGACTTCCTTCCTACCTCTGTGATTCAAAGACCTATGTTCTCAAAAAAGGGACTCAGAATTTTGGAGACTTTTCCAATTTTTTGAGAAACATACTGGTGTTTACTACTTAATCTCACCTTTCATATGCTTTCATGTTCAAAATCCTATCTATCTTTTATACTCAGTAGATAACTTGTAAGTACTCATATGTTCAATACTGGTAATGACTGCAGACTGACAGATCCGTTATGTTCTCAGCAGTAGCACGTACACAAGCTTAGACAATATAATTAAATGATCTGCAGTTCCCAGTAAGTAGAAGACACGTGATATGAGGATCTTCTGAATAAAGCCAAGATCTCTTTCATGCTATCATAAAAGCAGGGAGAATTTCAACTTTTCTAGTGGCAAGGCTTGGAAAACACACAGCAAATGCTAAGACTGTAGTAGTCAGGCTGAGTGAAAAGGATAGTGAAACTGATGTACAGTTTGATGTAGTTTAAATTTCTTCAGACAGCTTTTGCAGCATTTCTAGCAATCCATTAAATCCTGCGGGAGTTAAAATCTCTGATCAGAAATGTAGTGTACTGGTTGAAATACCCACACCCAGGTATTTTAAGGGAATCTAGCTGGCTTCTTCCTGCCCCTCAGTTCTGAAGATGACATTTGGGCTCCTTAGTCATTCCACAGTAACGCAGAAGGTTATTGGCAACCTTGAATTCCTTTTAAAAGAGCTGTGGTCAGTCTGCCATCATGTCTGTAAAACTGCTGTTTTGCGAATTAGCACTGATTCAACCTAAACGAGTTGCAAGTGATTATATCCCTCTCAGCGGTGTTGATGTGTGGTTCCGGTAAGTAATGTTAGCGTCCATCAATAAAACAGGTTGATTTCAGGTGAAAACTGTTGCCCCTTCTCAATGGGTTCTCTGGTACTTCTTCTCTAGATGAACTGAAGGCGCCCCTGGAAGAGTATGTCAATAAACGATACCCAGGACTTGTGAAGGTGGTACGCAACCAGAAGAGGGAAGGCCTTATCCGAGCTCGTATTGAAGGGTGGAAAGCTGCCACTGGCCAGATCACTGGATTCTTTGATGCCCACGTGGAGTTCACTGCTGGCTGGTAGGTCCTGAACCTCGAGGCCTCCTCATGTTGCTAGAGAGTGTGTGTGAGAAACACAGGATAGTCCCAAATTTTGTAAGGAGATCTCTGGAAACAGGTCCACTGGATTTGTAATCCTACCTTCCTTCTGTAACAGGGTGCCACTAGTGGGATATGGTGGGACGATGCAAGGAAACTCTTTCCGTCCCCTTCTTCTCTGTAATCATCCTTCTCCCTCCTTTTATGCCTCCTTCCCCCCTGCCCCATTTCATTTTTGTTTCGTTGGATTGAAAGAGAAAGTATCTCCTGCTTTCTTGCCCTTTGCAGCTGGATCCCACTGGGGAAGGCTTATATTTTAGATTGATTTGTTTCTTGTGCAGCTAAGAATAAGTGCAAAGGTGCAGAAACAGCAAAAGGTACTTCATATGGACTTTTTCAGAGATTCAAAGCATTTTAGTTTGTGATTTTTAAGTTTCTGAGTCTAGATCATGTGAAGGGTCTGAGAGTGTTGAGCTGATGTGTATGTTTTTGTTTTTTGTTTTTTGTTTTTTTTTAACTCTACTGAAATGTAAATAGGAAATGCTCCATGTTTAGAAAACTGGAGGCAGAAGACCTGTACGTAATTTCAACAAGAAAAACATTCCCAAGGTAGAATCCTGCAAAGGAAGAATTCTGGGCAGTTATTGGATTCTTCATAACAATAATGCAGCTGAAGGGTGTATTTAGAAGGCTGTTTCTTATGTTGATATTTATATTCCCAGCTAAATGTTCCTCTCTTCAGGTCATTAGGTCTTCACGCCCAATTTTATTGATATGCACCAGAAACTACAATTTACTGAACTATTGCAAGAGCTTTCCTAGGGACAGAAAGTGAGCTTTTCTGCAGCATGGGCTTGACTCACTCCATTGTGTACCCTCTGCTTTCCCTGATGGGCAGCAGAAGTGGCTCCTTGTGCTGACAGGCTGAGCCCTGGTTCGTCAGTGGCTCCTGTGCTCTTGGGATGAGGCTGACTTGCCGCTCTGAACGTGTTTGAATGCGTCTGAGCTGAATTTTGGAGCTATGGAGTCCACATATGCAGATCCTTAAACTGTGTTTCCAGAAAGAAAAGACCCTTCAGATAGCAGTCCTACTTTCAAGAATTTGCCCTGTTTTGCCCAAGGATATCTTTTGGATTTGAGGAAAGCTCAGGCGAGGTAGGTCGTGGTTCATACAAAAAGCAAAACACGCTGGCCATGGCCTGCTTTGCAGAAGGGAAGTTTTCAAGCCAGGCTTCCTGTGTTTCCCCAGCAAAATGTGGAGGGCATTTTCCTGCAGGGTATCCATCTGTGCGTGAAAGCACAGGAATTGTGGTTACGCTATAGATGCACGTATGAGTTTTGCACAAGATCACTGTCCATGTGCAATAAAGGTACCTAAGAGCAGCCATGCTGCCGCAAACCAAGGGCATATCTAGCCTGCTGTTATGACACTAACAGCATCCAAATCCTAGGAAAACGTACAGGAGTAGGACGAGCATGTACGATACTGCTTTGGATGAAGCCTCCAACTATTGGCAGATGTGAGACAGACTTGGTTTCTATGTACTCAGCAGCCTTCCTTGCATTTCCTGTGAGCTTTTATCTCCCATTGAGCCCATTTAAACATTCACAACGTCCTTTGGTGAGAAGCTCCACAGCTTCACTACCTGCTGTGTAAAGGGCTAACTCTTTCTCTCTGTCGTTGAGCCTTCTACCTACCTGTTCCATTTGATGGTCCATAGCTCTTGTATAGAAAGAGTCACCAGGTGGTTATGTGCATTCTCTGTGCCTGACTGTATAGTCAGACTGTGCTGCAAAATTAGCCCTCAATTAATGTACTATTGGATTTCTTGGTTATCTCAGTAAAGATCTCAGGAAAGCTCAGTTTGAAAACAGAATTTTTTTGAATTAAAAAGTTTGTAATATGACATTAATATTTAATGGTGCTTTTTAAACCAGCACACCAATGAAAACATGTTGTACTAGCTCTGCAGGAAAAGATAAGTTCCAATTTCAGAGGCTTTCATTCATTTCCACAGCTTAACGTCTGAGTTTGTGGGAAACGGTTCTTTGCTTGCACTGATAATCTCAGCTAGTCCATGAATTTTGCATAGAAAAAGTCACATGTGCAGGAGAGCCCTAAAGCTCCCCAGACACGCAGGGCTGTGGCTGTTTAATCTCTCTGTATAGCAACTGTCTCTGTAGCCTAATTGATAGCAGCTCCAGGCAGTGATGTGTCCAGGCAGGAAATCCCCTGAAATGGAAGCACTGAAACCTCTTGCTGCGTCTCCATTGTGGCTGACCAAACTTTGCAAGCCTTTTAGAAATAACCTTTTAAACTCAGCAACGTAAATTCCTTGTCCCTATGCGTGCTTTCTGTGCCGATAAAGTGCAGACGGGTGGAACAGCAAGAGTGAGGCCGATGCATGGCAATCCAGAGTCCCTGGTTGAGTCTTTGAAGAGCCTCAGGAGCCCCTCCTTGCTTAGCCCCTCTGGGTGGGTTTTGCCATGTATCTCTCAAGACAGTGAATCCCACAAGTGAATGCGAGCAGAGATGGGTCCATGGAATTCCCTTCTATTACCAAATAGTGAGGAGAACACCTGCTTTTGTATCCTCAGTTGAACGCATGAGCTGTAGGAAAGCTTCCGTGTCCACCTGTGTGTTACAGGAGAAATTAATGATCTCTTCCTGCGCTCTCCTTCTTTTTGCCACTTAGGGCTGAGCCAGTACTTTCGCGAATTCAGGAGAATCGGCGGAGGGTAATTCTTCCCTCAATAGACAACATCAAGCAGGACAACTTTGAGGTTCAGCGTTACGAGAACTCTGCCCACGGGTACAGCTGGGAGCTGTGGTGCATGTACATCAGCCCGCCCAAGGACTGGTGGGATGCTGGAGACCCCTCGCTGCCCATCAGGTACGTTACCGAGCTTGGGACGCGTTCAGTCCGTGACAAAGGTGACGTGAGGCAAAGGGTGTAAAAATAAGGTGAGGAAGCCAGTTTGGAGCGATTGGCTAGATAGTGTGGTAACACAAGGTTGCCTGTTGCGTTGCAACACAAACCAAGAGGGGGTACTTTGGGTTTTATTATGACAAGGTGATTTGGAGGGCTGTACCACTTGGTAATGGTATGCTGAAACATTAGGGAGGAATAAGAATTGTGTAGGATTGCACAATCATATTTGTAACTTTAAACGACAAAGTCACTTTAATTATGATGTTAAATTTTTGCGCATCCTAAGAAATGGTTCTTGAATAATGAACTGAAGTGTATATTCACAGGGTATGCCACTGGGTTTTCTTGAATAAAAAGTATATTTTCTTTTAGGGGAAACTTGCTGTAAAAATGTATTTTAACTTGTTCTAACACTTGAGCTCACATGATCAGTGAGGTCTGAAACATTGCCTACTCCCTCAAAGACTTCAGGTATGACGGGATGGTTTGGACAGAGCATCAAAGCATCAATTTCGCTGTGGGAGTGGGCAAACTGGAGTTGCTTTGTGTGAGAAGTCCAATTAGGCTCTCTTGATAGGTTCTCTTGATAGCCCTTAAATATCAGAAGTGATGCTCTGATCAGAAATGCTTTCCAGTCAGGTGAAGAGAAAATATTACTCCTAACTTGGTTAATATGGGGAAGACTTGCTCCCAGGCATGTAACAGATGCAGATATACAAATCTATACCTGATCTAAATCAAAACATCTGTGCTTTGGTCAATGATTTAATCTCTAGAAGCTGAAACTAGATCTATTTCCATTTATATAGCAACCTTTTTATTCCTCTGGGCTTTGCTTCCTTGCCTCCGGTGGCATATACAGCTATTAGTGGAGGAACTGACAGTTTGTTCTGGACAGCTTGTCAAGCCTTTGAGGGATAGACAGTTATTTTAACCAAATGCAAGTGGCTGAGGTCTTTGTTAAAGGAGTGGATGAATGCCTGCAGTATACAAAGGTGAAGCTGAGGAGTTCAAAAGCCTTTTAAAGTGATGGGTTAGCAGTGCAGCTGCAGTGGCAATCCCTAGGGCAGCGTGACTTCCCAGTGGTCAAGCAGGTAGCTCTGGAGGATCATAAAAGTGGATGGTCTCTATTGAGGAGAACCTTTCTCAGCCTGTGGATGTGTAAATTGCGGAATTATTGCAGGGCGAGGCAGTCTCTTCTATTAAGCTAATCTGAGATAGTTGGGAGAAACAGGCACGCTTTAGGCATATGGGATGCTCCCTATGGCTGCGAATGGAGATACCGCTCCAGGAGCTTGCTGTGGTTAAAAACTGGCAGGCAAGAAGCATTGATGAAACTAGACCCACCCAAATATGACATTGAGATACATGTCTTGACCTTCTGGTGTGCTGTCCTCTGTGCACCTGATTTTCATTTTGGTTGCAACATGTTATAGGCTTGCAGGGAGGAGCAGTTAAGGGAAGCAAGCAGGGGCAGGGTTGGGTCTAGAAGTGCAAACTTGTTTGTAGACGAAGCCAGCGTTTAATGGCAGAGCATGTGAGAAGGGAAGGAGAAAACAGGGAAAAAGAGGAGGGAGGAGGAGAGCTATGGAGAGCCAAAGGGCACAGAAGAGTTGGATAGCTGGGAAGAGAGGGGATGGTGAGTTCAGGAGCTTGTCTAAAGAGAATGTAGGCAAAAATCAACTGTGATTTAGTTGCAGGTATGGAAGCGTTAAAGCAGTGAGAGTGGTGGTGGTATGATAATAAATATGGAAAAGAGCAAGGAGGGAGTGTTTGAGTCAAAGGAAGAGACCAGGGGCAGATTTCAAAGATGAATCAGGCACAACCTGAATATGCGCGCAGGCAGGTAAAGATGGGGGTCCTTTGAACTGTCTTGGGTGGGCCGTGGTGCTTTGTCAGTGCCAGGTGAAGGGAGGCAGAGAGGAGGCACTGAGCTGCTCGGTGCTCTTGTCTCACTGTAGCGCTTGCCTTCCCCATGGGTTGGACGTACAGACGTTTGCCTGTGCGTTGTCCAGAGCAGATGCTCTGCAGGGTTCCTCTGGGCCTGCTGCACAGCTCTCGTGCTGCTTCTAAAAATAGGTGAGAAGAGAATAGGCTTCTCTGTTCCAGCTTCATTTTGGATTCTGTTTCTTTGAGATCTTACTGTTGCTTACAAATGTGTTGTAGTCCTGTATGATTTACAGAGGAAAAGCAATAGGTGGTAGAGGGAGTTTGTATGGAGGCAGGATTGTCTAAGCTGTTAATAACTACCCAGGCATTAACTGAGAGATGCAGGCAAAAAGCTTCCTCTTCGGTGATGCAGATACGGTGGAGGGGGCAGATTGGAGGTCCTGGCTCTGGCCCTGGCTCCCCAGATGTGGATCCTGTTTTCAGAGGCAACTGCTAAGGCCAGGGGTGTAAATGAGGTCACACAGCTGCTGGCACAAAGATCCAGAACTACCACCACCCTTTTCTGCTTGGTTTGGCTTTGTGAGCTGGTGGATAGTGTTAAGCATTGAGCTGCTTTATGTACTTTTGATCTGCTGCTATAGAAATAATGTCTTCGCCATGGAGGTGTCACATGAAGTTCTTTGGCCTCTGTTCAGCAGAAGGCTGTATTGTTGTTATGGTGGGGTTTTTTTGGATCATTAAAATCTATGAATGATGAAAAAATATGAAGGGATATTGAGTGTTGTATTTCTCCATTAAGCAGATTACAAACTGTTACTGATTTCAATGAGCCAGGGGGTGAGAGACGTTTGGTTTGTCAGTCTTCTCTGGGATACCTGTGGTGCCCCTATTGCTTCCTCTTTTGGAGCGGTGATGTTAGTGGCTGATGTCCCAGGAGGCCCACCAGGTCTGGCGGTCCCTACAGTCTCAAGGGTCTGCCTGCTCATCTGCTGAGCTAAGTTTAACCAGCAATGAAGTAGGGATCAGAGACACTTGCTTGGCTGTAACATGGGACGCTGTGCTTATCTGCTCCGGCTTCATCAGAGGCGCTGATAATGTGGACGCTGCTGTTCCAGGTCATGGTCTGTGGAAATTGAGGTTTAGGGGTTAAAGCAAGCACAGATGCAAGGGCGATGCCTTCAGAAAATTCTCTGGGAAGGAGCTTCTATAACAAACACAGTAGCTTCACAGTGATGTTAAAAAATTAAACGACTTACTAAAATAACATTGTTAACATGCACTAGGGGAAGGATTATGAAAAAGATAAATGGGTAGTGTCCGCAACAAAAAGCTAATGAAAAATACTGTCTCTTTCTATTATGTTGTGTAACCATATACAGACCAGAAATAAATGACTATGGTTATTTTTTTTGTCATATAAGACTGTGGAAACTATGCATTTCATGACAATATTTGCATGGAAGGAATACCAGTGCAGTGTTCCATATAATTATGCATGGAATTAGAGGAAATTTCTTGAATTATAATATACAAAGGTACGTTAGTTTTTTAGTGACCTTTTAGGATAAAAAAAAAAGGGAGAGAAGTAAGGCAATTTATTCCTTATTTGGTTTTATACTGTTGGTGCACTGGGATTATGATAGCCCCATGAAAAGTCCCCCTCATCAATCAGAGAGATGTGCCTGTGCGGGGGATGCTCTAGCATGCTTGCAAGCCTCTGTGTTTCAGGACCTACCGAATATTCAGCTGCAGAGACTGGAGACAGACAGCTGTGGGAATACGTTTGGAGACAATTTTCCCTCATGGATAATTCACAAGATATAATTATCCAGGCAAAGAGAACTGATGGCATGAAACTCATCTAAAATATGGCCCAGTCTCAAACTTGCTCCAGGCTCCTGCTTTATCCAATAATATCCCCACAAGGAAATAGTCTCCCTTAATGACTAGAAGGGATGCTGGTGTAATACATGGATTCCATAAATGTCGTTCTTCATGGTTTTTCCATTAACATTTAAAATCTGATGCACAGAGATACCCTTGCTCTTAGCATTGAGTTATGCATGCAAGTGTTTCAGAAATAGACTTTCCTTGCCAGGCTTGCGGCGTCCTCCTGACTAGTTCTGCCCAGGAAATAAAATTGTGATTACAGTGTAACGTATCATAGCTAAATTAGAAGTCCCAGAAGAGGAAGACGGTAAGCGACGTTAAAACAGTCATCATGTAGATCCTTAACTTCGTGAAAGCGAGCTCCCATGGAGATCTTCTGATTTCCTAGTCCCGATAGCGTAGATGTGTGTATTTAAATGAATACATGTGCCGAAATAGCTGGACGTACTTTGTGCTGGGAGATGTAGCCAGAATTTATCCAGTCCTTTGTTATTAACCATATAGCATTGACTGGTGTGTACTGAGAGTCCAGAAAACCTGGATCTCAAAATAAAACAGAACAAAGCCGATGCTTTCTATGTTCTGCAGAAAGTACAAAAAAAGATCCTGTAGAAATGCGGTGAAATTGCAGCCTGATCACCTTATCTGGAAACGGAGTATTCCAGAGCTCAAATCCGCATTGCCACGGTCTTGAGGAATGATTCATTGCACGCCTGGAAGAGCATGGTTGTGGGGTTTTTTTGTATTTTAAGGCTTCTTGGTGTGTGGTTCCTCTCTGGTGCTGCAGCATGAAAGGGTTGCTAGTCCCAACGCTACCAGTTTCTTCTGCCTGGCTCTTTAGGTTCGTGCTGCGTCAGGTTTTGTCAAAAAGCAGCTTTGGAGCAGTCGCTAATGTCTGGAAGTTTTAGGGCCAGGAGCGCTGATCGCCCTTCACTTGCAAAACTCATGATTTATAATTACATGTACAAGATATCGACAGCTCCGGGGGTCTGATTCAAAAAAACAATTAAACGCACTCTTGATTCTGTGCCTCTTCAAGGGGCCGAGCAAGCAGATAGTGCATAGTATGCTGCCTTGAGGAAGAGGGACGCTTACCTGAGCGTGGAGCTTGGTGTTATTGCGCTTTGCTAGTGACCATATGTCATGTAACCCTCCAGGGAGATGAGACGCTTCACTCTTTG